ATTGAGATAAATTACAGTGTTTACTGCAGACTCTTTCTTGTTACCTTTTCACCATTTGTATCAACTAACAGATTTTCCTCATTAATCTCTCCAGCTGGAACTTCATGTACAATCTCCTGCTCTGCACTTGAACTCCCTCCCATCTGTTCTCCTCCCATCAGAGGAAAGTAAAGAACCTTACATTTTGGTCTGATAAGCTGATCAAGTCCCTTAGGTCGAAAATCAGGCATTAATTTCAGAAAGCTGCTGATTGATGATAGAAATGATTCCATGTTAAAGGAGGAGTTGAACACAACGACATCAGCAACCAGACTGCCAGACAAACAAATAATTATTATAATTATTATAACATAACATAACTTTATTATTTATATAGCGCAAAATGCATGGGTATATGATCTAATGCACTTAGATCAAATGGGGAATTCATTCAGTGTCACTATGTCAAACTTGATAATGTTCAGCACAGCGTTACAACCTTTTTTTATATTATATTATCTAATATGATTGTTTATTTTACAGATGCAATCAGATTTTGTTTTCCAAAAACCTTGAGTATAACAAGCACTTGAAAGATACTATTATAGATGCAAGAAACAATGGTGTGTGCAAGGGGGACATGTGAGCTTGCCCCGTTTTCTATCACACCCATCATTTCCAAGGAGCTGCTACACAGGCTATTTTCAGTGTTATGCTGTCTGTAAATTTTCTTGTTTTAAGGTTTTTTCAAACTTCCAGGAGGGATACAGTTCAAAAGCAGTGGAAAAAAATAGTAATCATAACAAAAGGAAAACACAAAAAAAGATTAATTCTGGAGGGAGGCAGTTTGCCCAAGTGGACACAGCACAGGACTTGCAATCTCAAGTCTTGCTCTGACTTCTAGCTGGATTTTTATGTTCCCTGGTGGTCCTGTGTTCAACTCCAAAGTCATGCCTGAAAATTAACAGCTTACCAGTATTCTTCCAGCTAGATACGATTTTAGTTTACAGTTTTTATAAGACAAAAATTAATTTGTCTTAGATTCTTTCTCAACCCTGATAGCTTTTGAGCAACAAAAGATGTCAAGAGACAACGAATTATTGATCTAAAATAATAATAATTATTATTATTATCATTATCATAATGATGATGATGATGATGATGATGATGACGATGATGATGATGATGATGATGATGATAGCCATGACGATGACAATGACGATACTGCGTAAAATAACCAAGCTGGTCTTTGACCTTACCATGATAAAATTTGGTTGTAGCCATACTGAAAATCTCTGTCTTGTTGTTTTCTCACTGGATAAATAAGCTGATTTTCATGGAAGTAAAGGACCTTCTTCAGTTGGGCAAAGTCAGGTCTCAGAGCAACTAATTCAGCTAAATTCAGCACTGAGCTTACAAACATCACCCTGAAAACACCAGCTTGCAAATTTATATAAAAAGATATTTACCAATACTAACTAATTTATTGGTAATATCACTTTATACATGCATCCAGAGTGAGAAACCTATTTAGGAAAGTGTAAGGTTACATGTGTATCATTAAAAAATGTACTGGTAATCAATAAGACATGAAACATATTTTTGTTAAATTGTTTCAATAGTATTACAATGTATTATCTATTGCTTTCTTAGACCTTATCCACTTGAATCTGGGTAGGCACAACCCACATAATTATGTATAGACAATAATATTGTCTTATAGACGGGTTTGCAATCTGTCAGATCCAAAAACCACTTCTGGAGAGCAGTTTCAATTTGATCTGCTTTGGGTGAGGGGTTTCACTGGTTTTAATGTGGATGGAACGCAGATTTACATGAAAAAAAAGTATGCAGTTTCAAAAAAAGAATTCTGAGTCATGTGGATGGGGCCTCACCAGTAGCAATAATTAAGAGCTGGGTGCCAGGGATTTCCCCCAGCTACTATGAATGTGGTTCCCAGCTACCTTCATAGGCAAATAGAAGAAAAATAAAACCAAAAGAAATCCCTAGCTGTTTGATTTCCCGCCTACTTGTTATAATTATTTACCCCGCAACTTAAAAAAAATGTTAGTGACATCCCTGTAACCACATACATACTGACCCCTGTACTCACAGGAGAGGATCTGTTTTAAAGGGTTCACATTTTGGAGGTGGTTACTTAAATGCAGGTAATGAGCTGAGTACATCTACTCCTCAAGTAGACTCCTGTCAGCTTTTCCTGCTTATTTCTGATAAAATCTGTTAGAAAAGACAATCCCTCCTCATCACCTCCGACACCTGCCTGCCCA